AATGAATACCTGAAGAAACACTGAACGTCTCTGGCCATTAGAGAAATTAAAACAACACTGAGATCTTACCCCAGAAAAAATGGATACTAGCAAGAAATCAAATGATAACACATGATATCAAGGCCATAGAGATAGAGACTCTTCCAATTTGTTGGTGGGAATGTTAACTAGTACAACCAATATGGAAATCAATGTAAATTTCCTAAAAAATCTGAAATTCCACTTGATCTAGCTATTTCTCCTCTCAGCATCTTCTTGAAAGAGTTAAAGACCTCATATATAATGACCCACGCATAGCCATGTTTATAGCAGCACAATTCATAATAGCTAAATCTTGGCTTATATGTCTTCCAACAGATGACTGGATAAAGAAAATGTTTTATTTACACATAGTGGAATACTATTCTGCAATAAAGAAAGGTAAAGCTGAGTCACTTTTAGGAAAATGGGTATTAAAAGTGAAAAACTAAGAAGTAGTTAAGTATTAAGATAAACTTGGCCTTAAGCAAAATGGTTAATCATAATTAACAGATGATGATTATGAAGATTTCCTTAGTTTTTGTGTTTTGGGAGGAGTTGCTTTTATGTTTTGAGAACAGGTTGCTGAATTGCCTAAATTCCCCAGGCTGGCTTCAAACTCAAGATCTTTTTGTCTCAACCTCCCAAATGCCAGGGTTCATGGTAACTGCTTTAAGTATTATTTGTCTGTTTCACCTTTTCTCTTGTACTGTGCTTTGCTAATTACATAGGCGTGACCTTTCTGTTTCCTAGGATACTGTGAACAAAACATACCTGTCTAGTTTTCTCTTGCTAAAACTATCAATTACTCCTAAATAATGAAACAGTAAATGTTAATGAGTTTAGATGGTGTGCCCGCATCTAGAGATAACTTCATGAAGTAATAATATGAGTCCTTGGTTTACTTGGCCCCTGGACAACTCTGTTTTCATTCAGCCATCCACTCATTTGGTCGGCTCTGGGTTAATTATGATTTTTAAAAAAGAGGAGGGAAAAAAACCCAGGAAAAAAACACACACAATGTATTGAATGTCTATGGCATGGGACCATTAGATTCCCTAGCCAGTGATTTTGGTGATGACTCAGAAGACACTTTTTCACATTTGTGGATAATTAGTACCCAGAACTGTAGAAAAATCACTGAATGACAGGTTCCTTGACCAAAAGATTTCAGTGGGATAGAAAGCTGTATAACACTAACGTGCGTGAGCCAGATGTGTGACACACACTGCAACACCAGCTTCTCAGCAGGCTGAGCTGGGAGGATCACAAGTTCAAACTCAGCCTGGGCAACTTAGCAACTTAGTGATACCCTGTCTCAAAATAAAAGGTAAAATAGGGTTGGGAATGTAGCTCAGCAGTAGAACATCCCTGGTTTCAATCACCAGTACTGCAAAAAAACAAAACAAACCCAAACAAAGCAAAGTATGAGGGGTGTCAATGAGTCAACAGTGTACCACATAAGGAAACGTGTTTTTGTGCAAAAGCTTAAGTGTCCTTAACCAGGGCCATTCCGTAAACTATTCCCTCAATGTCCCAGGCAGGAAGGTGCTATTGAAGAGACCTAGGATGCAATGAAAGAAGTACAGAAGCTCTGTCATGGTCCCTAGGAATAGAGGGAGGAACAGGGACATGCAGAGTACAAAACCTCAGCACTCAGCTTCAAAAAGCAGCTGGAACGTGGAATAAATCAAAGGATCCTGTCTGGCCAGAAGCGATGGTACAGGCCTTCAGACCCAGCTACTGGGGAGCCCGTGACAGAATGACCGGTCAAACCCAAGAGTTCAGAGCAGGCTGTGCAACACAGCAAGAGGCCACATCAAAAACAAAACCAAAAACCCCACACAGATCGTACAAACAACAACCGCAGTACCAAATCGGCAAAAGAGAAAGTAGCCGGGGTAGATGGAAGCTCTGCCTCACACTGCCCTGCCCCAGGCAGCGATTTCCATCGCAACCTCTTTCCCCTTCTTGCTCAACCAATGCAACTCACAAAAGAAGCCCTAGGCCTTCCCAGTGCTGTTCCCCGGGCCTTAGAAGGAAACTGAGCATCTCACCTGCAGGGAGGCTGATAAGCTGCCCCCTTCCTTCCAGGCCAACTGGAAGGAATTTCCACAGCATGTCATTAGACCAGTGAGCAAAAGGGTAGGGATGAGGAGCCCAGAGAAAAGGGTACACAGGTGTTCTAGGCTCAGGTATTCAATAAAATTTCCAGTGGAGGTATCAGCACGGAAGACAAGGTTATAAAGGAAATCCCGAAACTGGCCGAGAGGATGGGAAGAACAATAGCTTTCTCTTCCTTCCCTCTCTCCTTCTCCTTTTCAGTGGTAGGTATATTGCCTAGGCCTTGAGTTACAAGTGTTTAGATTCTTTGAAATGGGGACATGTCTAGCCATAGCCACAGGCTGACATAAGCAAGACTTTTCAGCCGCTGGACTGTTTGGCTTCTGTTTGGCAAAACTGTAAACGTGCCTGCTTGGTACATCCAGCAGGAGATCTGGGAGGGTATGCTTATTAAACCACGAAGCTCAAACAGTCCCGAGGATATGTGATGCCACCAGAGGGATAATAAGATCACAGGGTTCTTGTAGCCAACTCATGCTGTATACTTTCCCTCAAGTACTTTGCCTCAAGCTGCTTAACCCATGTGGGATGAAAGTCCCAACAGAACCTCAGCCACTGGAAGCTGAGCAGCTCCACGCGCAGGCCACCATCGGAAGACCCACCTTGAGCTCCCTTTGCTCTCTTATACTGACACTGTGCCACTTTCACACAGTCTTGAACATTAAAGCTGCTGGCTGTACCAACAGTGTGCCCCTGAATAATGGCGAGAAAGAAACCACAAAAGAATGTTTGCAGCAGATAACAAGAGAGAGTGTCTGGTTCTGCTAACCAAACAGGAGATGAAATGTTCTTTTGTATGTGAGCAGGAAGCAAGCAGATAGTCACTTCAATAGCTTTTTATACCCACCAGGCGTGTTGAATTTGATCTTTTCCATCAGTACTATCTATAAAACCTCTTTCATGTGTGATTTAGTTAGAAGAGTCCTGTAGCCCATTATGCAAAAGTGTTATCTCTTTCGGGGAGAGGGGTGAGAGTTATACCTTTTCCCTCTGTATTGAAGTTAAAATGAAATCGCAAACAAACCCTCAGAACTATTCCTAGCATTTTTTTTTTTAGTTCTTGATGACAATGTTAATGCAACTCACAAAAAGACCTTGTGAAGAAATTGCTGACTATTATTAAAAGCCTACAACTTTTCAAAAGAACAGTTGGGAATTTGGGAAGGACCAATGCCTTTTGCATCATGGATCCATCCCCCATAAACCAGATTTGGCTATGGCTCAATTAACCTTAAATAACTGAGCGATACATTCACACAGTTGGTTAGCATCTTAGAGTACTATAAAGATCCTTTCAAATTGTCCATCAAATGCCTATTCTGGCTTCACAAATTCGATGTAGATTCATTTCCGGCAGTGGGCTTGGGAAGTGTTTCTGTGTTCAAAAAATAGCATTAAGGAAATAAAAAAGCATTAAGATGAACTTTTGCAGATTGTATTATGGACCATTTTCCCAGACTTATCTGAGGGAAAATGTGTCTCTCCTAAGAAGCCCTCGGTTTTTCCTTATAGATGGTCTGCCTGCACCTACACTCTTGGTGACATCCACACCTCTCTAGTACTGAGCTGGTCCTGCATTATCAGGGCCTCTTTTTTGTCAGCCTCTGCATCAGATCCTGAGCCCCGTGCAAGCAATGGTGGTCTTTCTTCTGGGGTCCCTCTGCCCGAGCTGCAGAAGGGCAATGCTGCTATCAACACCTTGGGAGTAACACGCAGCTGGGAGGTGAACCACAGGGCTCTGTGGGTGTGTATCGGGCTTTTCCTGGCTGAGGACCAGTTGGGAGAAGAATCAGCTGTGGTCTCCCAGCTGTGGTTTGAGCGGAATGAGGCATGATGGAAGCAAAGCACAGGAGCCAGGGAGAGAAGCAAGGGGCACTGAGAAACACAAAGGGCCGGTCAGACCCAAAGGTGACCCTTAACTCCACGGAGTTTTGCTTTTCTTCAGAATCACGAGGTGGGGGAGGGACCCTGTGTGGATCACATGCTAAAGCCCTGTCTCCATGCATTGCCTGTGGGGAGCTGCGGGTGGCCACCTCTGAGGCACAGAAATGTGGCAATTTCAGGTTGCCCAATCTTCCCAGGTGGGGAGGGAGTCCAGTCCTTCAGGAAGAGTCACTGGCCCGTTTAGGAGCCATCACAACCCCTTTCTTTTATCACAGCCATCTGCCAGGTTTTCAAACTTGCAGTATTTTATTGGGACAAGACTGGGCTGCTCCATGGATGGAGACATAATTAAGAGACAAACAAGGTGGAATTCGTGTCATTACGAATAATCTACTATCCCAAATTAGCTTCTGGTTTTGTTCCAAAAGTTGCAGAACTGCTCATCTTGTTAGCAAGCAATCACCAGAAAGTTAGGAAATTAAAGTTCAAGTGCATAAGTTTTGCAGGGGCAGTTTCACGCCTCAACTTTTTAAAGGTATCATGGTGTTATTCCTTGTTTTGTTCTAGGAAGCACTGGGTTGAGGAAATGACCTGGGCGGGTGCATCAGTACAGCCGAAAAAGTCACAGACGCCCTCCCCTGGGATCTGAGCCGGGTCTGCAGTCTTCCCCAAGGTGCCAGGCAAGCGTCCGGTCCCCTCGGACTGTCCTGGTCCAGCGCTCCCTGCGCGTTGGGTCTCTGGCGCCTTCCTAGACGTCTCAGGACAGTCTGGCGGGGTCAGGGGCGGAGGGACAGCGCAGGAAGAGCAGGGAAGGGGAGCGGACCCGACTGCGCCTTGCTCTTCGGTGCCAAGGACACCGTCGCGGAGGCGCGGCCAACTTCCTTTGGATCTGACTTCCCACCCCGGGGGCCGGGCGGTGGAGCTCCAGCCCTGTCCCCTCTCTAGTTTCGGGCGGACCCCAGAGCTGAGTAAGCCGGGCGGAGGGAGCCTGGAAGGATTTCCTGAGCCTGGGGGCCGGAGGGCGCGCAGCGAGGACCCTGAACCTGTCAGGGCCGGGCTGCTGGCTCCCGCACAGCCCCCGCCCCCCAACCGGCACAGCCCGCATCCAGCCCCGCTGCAGAGCCGCAGGGAAGCGAACCCGGGAGAAACAAGAGGGTAGGTGGGTAGGCGGATGAGGGGTGGGGGACCCCCTGACGTCACTGGAAGGAGGTGCCGGAGTAGGAAGTGGGCTGGGGAAGGGCTTTAAATCGCCCCCGCCCTCGGCTCCTCTGCACCAGGGTCCGCGGGAGGCTGGAGAGATCCAGGCGGACGCTCTTGGCGGCTCCTCCCAGCGGCGGCGGCTCGGAGCGGGCTCCGGGGCTGGAGCGCAGCGGCCAGCGGGCGCTGGGCGGCGAGGATTACCCGGGGAAGCGTTGCCTCCTGGCTGGAGCCTCGGAGAGGAGCTCTCGGGGTGCAGAGCGGGAGCGCAAGAGGACTGCCGGCTCGTCGACCGGAGGGAGCGCGGGGACCGGGCGAGCAGGCCGCGTCGCGCTCACCATGGTCCGCTGCTGGGACACCGGCGTCCTGCTGTGCGCGCTGCTGGGCTGCCTGCTTCTCCCAGGTGAGGCGGGGCTGGCGGGGCTGCCGAGCGCGGAGACTGTGGGCCGGGGCCGGGCCGGGGCCAGGTGCACGCGGGACGGGGAGGCTGCCCCCTGGGGAGGCGAGCTCCGGCGGGAACCGGGGACCCTCGTCGCAGCGGGCACGCGGGGGCCACGGCGCCCTGTCTCCGCGGGGGCGCCTCGGAGCGGCTGGCCGGGACCCGCAGGCATCACCATCCAACCCGGCGGTGGCTCCGCGCCCCAGGTCGGAGCTGGGGCTGCCCCGTTGGGTCGCAGCCCGGGTCCCCTGCCAAGCTCCCGGGAGGAGTCTCCCCGCGGAAGCTCCGGGCGCGAGGAGCACCGCTCACGCGGTCCTTCCTGCCACCCAGAGCCAGCTTCCCGGCGGCCTGGAGCGCGTCCCGGGGACCCTTCGGAGCCCAGAGCCGCGGCTCCTGGACGCCCGCAAGGCTGCCGGGACCTGGGCGACCCTGGCACAAGCCTCGCGCCCCGAGGGGGAAGGAGGAGAACAGTGTGGAGCGGGTCGCGCGCTCGCAGGACACTGGGGCCGCGGGACACGCGTGCGGCCAGCGCGCCGGACTTCTCGCCCGTGGCTCGGCTACGCCCTCCGCCCCGCTGCGCGCACGCACCGGGTGGGGCTGCGTGGGTGCGGGCCGGCTCAGGTCGCCGGCACGCGTGACCCTGCGCTGCCCGGGCAGCAGAGGGCCCACATACCGTTAAATGCGGGAATTGCAAGCCTGACCTGTAAATTCTGAGCCAAGAAAAAGGACAGTTTGGACCAAAAGCTACTGATGGAGGAAGCCTGAAGGTTTCTCGGCTGCCTGAGTCAGCACAGCCCTCGCCAGGCGGGCGTTTGAAGGCCGGCGGTGGAGCGCTGGGGCCGGAGGTTTTAGGAACAGTTGGCACGGAGACCGTCGCCATCCAGGGGTCCAAGCCGAGGGACTTGGGGGCTCGGACTCGCCGCCTGTGCGAAGCGGGGCCGAGACGCCGGACCCTGTGGTTCGGTCCTCTAGTACACAGAGAACCACAATTCTCAGCATCCTTCTTTTTAAGGGGAAAAGTAAAAATAATTGAAATACAGGAACGAAAGGTAAATCAATTGTAGTGATTCCCAGGAAGGATAGTCGATAAGGTTAAACCCATTATTTAAAATAAATAAAATTTACTAAGCCCGAAAGGCTGTAACAAATATTTTTTTTTTCATAGTGGGAAAACTAATCAGATCGTCAGTTTTTAAATAACAGGAGCTAAATTGCAATTAGATCGGTAAAACGCATAGACACCGAGGCAGGTTTGAACTCCTGCTTTCTGAAAACTCATAGGTTGGGAAAGGTACAGACTGTTAAATACTCATTTTTATTTTGCAAACACATTTTTTGTTTTGAAAAGCTGCTTATGTTAAAATATGATTGCCTAGCGAATTAAACACAAACACTTCACCGGTCTGGTATAGAAAGATAAACCTAGGTAAATTTCTTTTGAACCAACAAAAAAAATATGGTGGGAGAAAGCGCATGTTACTGGTTTTTGTTTTGTTTTGTTTTGTTTTTTGCTTCACATGCATTTTTCATTTTTATTTCAAAGACGTGGTGTAGTATAGCGAAGTGCAGTTTTGTCTGAGTTGAGCGTCTTGGCTTGAGAGCTTTACGGGGTCGTGCATAGGATCTTCTGGTGATTTTTCTTGGATTAGAACTTATTTAATGGGGCAGGAATCTGGGCGTCCTTTCAAGCTTGTAAAATGTTTTCACAAGTGTTGCGGGAGGAAGGTGCAGACCTTTTACCTGCGTTTGGAGACGTTTTATCCGCCGGCTGGCGCGCAGGTTGTAGCTGCCTCTGCAGCGCGGCTGCCCGGCTGGCTTGCAAACCTCGCGCCGCCAATGGGCTGCTGCTTCCTAAACCTGTCTGGGTTTTTCGGCCTACTTTGGGGGTGGGAGCTGCATTTCTCCCAGAAAGAGGCCCCCCCTTCTACCCTCTGAGCTTATCGGAGTCAGCTTGCACCTCTGTAGAGCCCGGAGCTGTCTCTCTGCAGATGCCGCAATTTTGAGTATTTATCAGTTATCAATATTGTGTGTGTGTGTGTGTGTGTGTGTGTGTGTGTGTGTGTGTGTGTGTGTGTCTGGGTGTGTGCGTGCGCGCAGGCAGGCATTCAGTAACATAAAGAGGTCCTGTATTTTGCTTCTAAGGAGTATTTACTTTCTTCCAAAGCTGTGGGGGGAAGGAGGCAAAAAAATGTGCCCCCAGTTCAGATACTTTCACGTCCTTTTGTGTGGGATCTTTCTCTGTAGGAAATGTAGCAGTCTTTTTTCCTTGCTTTAAACCTCTTACCGCACCATGCCTTTGAGCATAGCCGCAGAACTCCCCCTTTTCTTGAGTTCTCCAGCAGCTGACATTTGCAATTCACTGTAACTAATTTCCTATAACTTGGTGTCCACAATAACATGAGGTTCATTCAGAAAGTAGGTGAAAATAATACCTATTTCTAAGTTGAATGTGACGCAACTCTCAAATTTTATTTCACATCATAGCGTTTTTGTTTTTGTCAAGGTTTCTGACAAAACCTTCCCCCACCAAACTGCATGTTTTCATCATTTAGGGCCCAGGCGGTCTGCGTAATTTTCCAGCTGATGGGTCATGTTGCTGATAAACCAGGCAACCACCTACTCTAGTTCCTCAAATAGTCTTACTTTATTTTTGAGTAAGGTACTTGGTTAGCTTTTCTTTCCCGGATGAAAACGCTCTTAACAGGAAGTGTAGTAATCACCAAGTGGGGTTTTTTTGTTTTCATATATAAAATGCAAAAAATAAGGTACACGGTTGATTTCTAAGGCTGTTTTCTGACTCTAAAATTAAGTAAATGATTCCAAGAAACAGGCTGAAGTCACCCTTCTTCCTTCCTCCCCTCCTTCTCCTTCCTCGCTGTCTTTCTCGTATTTATATTTGCACACAGAAGCTGTGCTCAAGCAAAGGATGCTGCAGCCGGTAGGGTGAAGTGGGTCTCTATTACCAACAGTAACCACTGTCCTTTCTTTTTCTCAAGTACATTAGTATATACCTAACCGCCCAGTTGGTCTTTATAAACTGCATTTTGAAAAAAGCAATGCACTGATGGAGTAAATCATTATCTTGAGCTTCTCATCAGCAGACTGTGCCACTACATGATGGCTGCTTTAAGTCTTAAAGGTACCAGTTATCTAAAACCCTGCAGGTTTCTTTATTATAAGAGTTCCAACTTTCAACAGGGCAGTTAAAACCTCTAATTTAAAAAGTGAACCTATTTTTATGTGACTCTTAAAAAATCAAATAATTGCTTTACTTTTAGTAAAAACTATTGGGATGTTTTAAAATCTATTTTGAATTATATAATATAAAAATTGAACCCGGCATGGTGGCACACACCTACACACACAGCACTGTGGAGGCTGAAGCAGGAGGTTTGCCACCAGCCTGGGCTACCCAGTGAGGTCAGGGCTAGTTGGAGCTATATAGTGAGACCCTGTGTTCAGAAAAAAATTGAAAATATGTTGCAAAAATGGGTGTATATGGACCAGAAAAAATAACTGCCTTAAGGAAGAGTATTCAAGGTATTATCATCCACACAGCAAAGTTATGTTTACCCTGTCTTCCCAGGTCAGCAAGAACAAAAAGCAGTGTAAGTAGCTTTCAATTGAGAGAGCCAGAGGGCAAGAAGCTATCTTGGTGCTAAGGTGTTAAGTGCAAAGTCTGCCATTGGTAGTAAAGAACAGGCATACAGGATACTTAGGCTCAGCTGCATGATTAAGGCTATGTTGGGTGATATCAGAAAATGTCATTTTTCGGTGCATTTTTCATTCTGGAAAGGGGAAGAAAGACATTTGACATGACACCAGGCTCTGTTTCTTTGAAAGTAAAAATATTTTTATGAATGTTGAAAACCACAAAAATACTGGTTGCATTGAGATTAAATGACTTAATCGAACAGAACAGCCCAGCGCTTTGCATTGGTTTTACTGTACTGGAAAGGCTTGCAAGGATGACCAGATCTCCTTCCGGATACCTTCAGGAGGCCACTGAGTCCTCACACATTTCAGTGCATGCTGCTGGTCAAATTGCTGTCTTTTGTACCAAATTGAAGGAAGGGAAGGAAGAGAGAGGAATGGATTTCTGCGGGAGAGCTTGAAAGGAAAGGCTCTGGTTTAGCACACGGGGCTGCAGTGGGGTTCATTAAGGAAATGGTTCCGTTGAGTCTGCTGAAGATAGTGGACTTAATTTCCTGCATTGCTGCTGGGGCGGATGCAGGGGGATGTCAAGAATTCCTGGGGATTTCCCACCAGTCTTGCTAAACCTAGATGCCTAGATGATGCTGGTCTCTGGTCCTTTCCTTGATTCTGAGCATTTTGATCTTGTCTCACCAACACGTTCGCTGAGAGAGCCAGATGGGACCTGACTGATCCTTCTGCTCACTTCAGAGGTGAGGAAACTGGTGAAGTTTAATGATCCCCGCTCTCCAACCCCAAGGTCACGGACCCAGGATGGGAACCTGACATCCATCATATGTTTCTTATTCATTTGTATGGTGCCTCTCTACCCCAGAGTGGAGGTGATCAAATGTTTACTGAATAATACTTCAGTGCTAAAACTTCTAGATAACAGCATCTTATTTATTTTTAAAACATGTGTGTTTGGTACTCGGGATGAACTTAGGGTAGCCTGTATTCTAGGCAAGCACTTGACCACTGAGCCCCACACTTAGCCCCAGCATCTTTTCAAACCTGAAATTGTCTTCTATTTGCTGAAAGCCCACAGGGTTTTAAATTAAGAATAATCAAAAAGGATGGCTACTTAATGGTTCACTGAGACATTTTGTGAGAAGGTACGTTTTCCTTGTGAGTGCTTGGAATCCCTCTTTTGAGCAGCTGTGGCTTGTAGCAGCTGGGGTTTACAGTCCTAGCTTCATCTCTTATCGTGTCCCTCTATGTACAGATAGCCAGCCTCTTCCCCCCGTCAGAGAAATGATTCTCCCTCCTTC